GTCACAATGAAATGGGGTATTTTCACTTTTCGACCTGAATTGAGGGTTCAAGTTAGGTGGAGTAAATTGTAGGTCAAGAGAGATTGACAATGTATGGAGCCTATAGGTAATTTTTCACGAGGAATCCAAAAATGTAATTAATTTTGGGGTTAGATGGGGTATGGACCCAATTTCGGGGTATTTTTCGGAATTTTCGTAAATTTTGTAGGGGGACCCCCCTTGGGGGTGATGGGAGGGGATGGGCAATGGCCTAAATGGAATGTGCGATTAAAATTAGCTATAGTTGGCCATACATTTGAGTGCAAAATTCCGCAACCAAAAAGTGAAAAATCGACTTTGTATCATTTTACCCTAATGGGGGGGCTCTGAATTGTTGGGAGACTTGGGGTGAATGGGCTCGAGACAAATATCATTTCTAGGATAATTTGGGATGCTGATTCCGAATTTCGAGGTTTCGAGTTAAAAAAGTCATGGGTGAAGGAGTTATGACCCCCGACCCCCCTGGGGGGTGGGGGGACTTGGAGGGCAGGGGTCCTAGAAAATTTATCTCGTCATTCTGAACAACTTTGTAGTACAATATTTTTCGATCCGACCAAATTTTGACATGGTGGGTTACTCCCCTGCCTCCCCTATTTCGATTGGGCCCCCCTTATTTTCACAAATATATTTTTTCGGCACATTATATCGATCCATATAGGTGAAATTGAAAACTTTTATTAACACTTCGATACCTTTACTGGTTAGATAGATACTATATAGATGGTATCTAGATAGTTTTTTTAGATCTTTATCTATAGCTAGATGGTTTTCAAGAAAAATGTTTTTATCTATATCTTATCTAGATTAATTTACACCATCTAAAATAAACACTGACCAAGACAATGCACCGTGCCACAAATCAATGAAAACGATGGCAAAATTGCATGAATTGGGTTTCGAATTGCTTCCCCATCCACCGTATTCTCCAGATCTGGCCCCCAGCGACTATTTCCCGTTCGCAGACCTCAAGAGGATGCTCGCTGGCAAGAAATTTAAGACAAATGATGAAGTCCTTGCCGAAACTGAGGCATATTTTGAGGCTAAAGACAAATCGTTCTATGAAAATGGTATCGAAAAGTTGGAAGATCGCTATAATCGCTGTATCGCCCTCGAAGGCAACTATGTTGAATAATAAAATTGAATTTTGCCAAAAAAATGTTTTTTTCTTAGTTAGGACAAAGACTTATCTACCCGCCTGTTATATCTCGGTATTGAGGGTACCATATATGTACTATAGTCAAAGTTACATGCTCGTATCAGTCAGTTATTGACATTGATTTTACATTTTGTGCTAATGAATCGAGTGGCACAACATAATTGGAATATCATAACAAATGGCAATTGTGTTAGCAATAACAATAATATCATCACCATCATCAACAGCAACTAACAAAAAAAATTAACATCAAATGTTCACATGGTAACATGGTTCACGCATATAAAATAAAATGCACATATAAATGCTTCGCATAACATTTACGAATAGACAGTTTGATGGGTGAAAAGTCGACACATCATCATTGGCTGTGGAATTAAATCGGTGACAAAATGTTTCGGACGCGAAAACAAATTCAAATGAATGACATATAATGAAATTCATGCAATTGGAGCGATGCTAATATAATTACACTCATTTATTATCAAAACTGAGATCTGGCTATGATGTTAACCACTATCAATAAATTGTGATGCTGCTGCTTTCATATTACCACCAAATTTAAATTCAGGACACTCAACAAATCACTGAATTAAACCACACACCACCGAAATGTTTATCAATCAAATTTTAAAATATTCAAAAAGATCTTTATGGTGTCGCTAGATGAGACTCTAAGCTACGCCGATAATTAACATTGACAGCTGTCAAGTCAGCTTTTGGCTGGTGAATAGCACTACTCATGCCTAGTCTAGAGCCGAAAAGAGCATGGGGTCAATCACGAAATTCTAGTGCATCTAGTTTTTGATAAGATTTCACTAGAAAACTAGAAAATTGTAGTGCGTGAAGTTGGCTCTCAGTAGTTTTTCATATAAATTATATGGCCTTTGGTGTGAAGTTGGCTTCGTTTGTGACGTCATTCTTCGCACTAGATTTACTAGTTTTTCTAGTATTCACTAGCGTGATTCGCCCTATGGAAAAGAGAGTGGTCGTTCGCACGGTAAAGCATCCGAAAAAGGTGCATGTTTATGGTTGCTTCTGTGAAGCTGGTTTTAGAAAGTTGACCGTATTCACGGGCATTCTAAACGCCGTGAGGATGAACGAACTTTATTCATCAACACTGTTACCCACCGCCAAGAAGTTCTATGGCAACGGCAATTCGATTCGGCTTCTATTAGAAGATAATGATCCAAAACACAAAAGTCGTCTCTGCACCGCTTGGAAAGAGGAAAATGGCATTCGACAGATGGACTGGCCGCCACAGTCACCTGATTGCAATCCAATCGAGAACGTTTGGGCTATTGATAAGGCAAGGCTTCGTGGTAAATCACACCGCAATTTGAAGCAGCTC